GATGTGGTTTTTTGAGGGAAAAACGTCCAAAAACGTACGAAATACTGTGCATAACCTTTCGTACGATTTCATACGCACTCATAATGAGAATATGTTGGCATGGTGGACAGCAGCCAGGTGAGAGAGAGGTGCTACCGGGCTGACTGGAGCTGAGGAGGTAAGATTTGATGTTCTTCAGGGGAGCCAGAGAAAAGCAATTGAGATATGTATCCAGAAAATTACTTTGGTCTGTGTGATATAAATAATCACACAGGTATCTAATAAATGATATTTACCTCAATTTAGTAAAGTTTCTGTTGTCAGTAGTTTGAGAAGTAATCTGTGAGTACCAGTTAAAAGTTAGGGATGTTGCTGAATAAGTATAGACGCTCGAGCAAAAGAGCATTCTCCGGCATGTTGCTGCCATCGATTGTTCACTTCCATCTCAATTGAACCCTCTATACTGTACTTGCCCACAGTCACACTTGAGCCTAATGGCGATCAACGCAGTAACTAGTTTGTCAGCTCTACGCTGCCGTGGCGCAAACATTTCTGCCTCCATAAATAAAAGACCTGCGCCTATGTAATTGTAAATAGCAGTTTCTATGTCCATGCTAATATAAAGACTTGAGATTATTAATAAATAACATAATTATGTCTATCATGTTTCTTTCAGAAAGTCCCTGTATTTGTTTTACACTGTAGCTTTAATTGTATCTAACTCAGGAATTTTTCATTAGTAAATTATCACTACTAAAATATGATGTAACATTGAGGCCCATTTGTCGCATTGCCACTTATCTTTTTAAATCAGGTATTAATTCAGCTTATTACACGAATAAGGTCCCAAGCTTCATGCTCACATCTTCTCATCGACTAAAACCTTGTTCTCCCAGCAGAAGAGCAGAGTTTTCTTCCTTAAAGTTGTCTCGGTGTGTTCAAGGTAATGATCTGGGTTACTTTTAAGGCAAAAAAAATGATTAATAAATCTAGCAGACAGGTATAAACAAAACTTTTATTTGTACCAATATGTGTTTTGTGAGTCCAAATCTGTGGAGGAGCTTCAAAGACATTTCAAGAAGACTTGGATTGCTGTAATTTCATAGACTTTTGACAAGGTTTAGATGATTTTATGAACTGTCATTCTTTACCACATTTGAAAGCTATAAATAATGTTTTCTGTTGTTGCTGCAAAAGTTATTTCAGTTTTTCTGCTTTTTTGTTAACATTTAAAAGATTCCTTTCATACTTCCTATCATTACTATATGTCCTTGTTGAATAAAATCTAAAGCTTCCTATATGAGTAATTATGAAATTAACTGTAGCATGTTGACCAAAATGTTAAGACTTGATGTAATTACCTGACCAAAGAATCTTCTTCCACATTTTTTGGCTGACTTTCTTAATTACTTTTGCTAAATGGAAACATCACTTCTTTCTTGATTGTCAGAAAAAAAAAATCTTATCTAACAAAATGTATTTGTCCAAGACTCTTTGTTAAAAGTCGGATTCGTGGACCTTACTAAGCTATGGTCCGCTGCAGCTCATCCAGTTACTCCGTGCTGGTTTAAGTAGAAGTTTCTTGAGGATTGGGGACGTCCAATGCTTTTAAACATTTTTTATTAATGAATAAGAAATAAAACAGTACAAATCTTAATTTTTTGTTTTCCTACTTACTTTTAATCTATGCACAACTTTCTCACTGACCTATCTACTGTGTTCCTTGATCTTTATGATGCAGTTTGTTTACTAATTTTCTCTCCCACACCTTTGAGACCTCCACAGAACAGCTGTGTTTACACTGAGATTAAATTACACACAAATGGACTCTGTTTACCAATTAGGTGACTTAATTGGTGGCACTGGATTATATATAGGGCTGTCAGATGAAAGGGGGTTAATTACAAGTACACTCCATATTGTGCGTTTTTGTAAAACATTTTCAAAAACATATTTGAGTTTTCTCCCAATTTTAATCAGTTATGTGCATAAATATCACAAAACATTTGTTTTAATAAATCAGTTTTGAAATCTAAAAATATGTCTCTTATAGTTGTAAACACCCTTGGTAAGGCACTGTACTCTCAGTAACCTTTCCGTTGGTTAAAAGACAAAAAGCTGCCATTCTCATCTTGACTATAGATACTTTTAAAATCAGGTTGTCAATATCTCCCCAATGTCCCTCATTCTGTTTCCTGTGCCAGCTAAGCTTTATAATGACAGGAAGATACTGACAAAATACAAAGAGGTTCACTGCAATTTTTTCAAAGAAGATTATTTGAAATGTGTGCTGAATCTATTTCATTCACTTAATTAAAAAGCATGTATTAAACAGAATTAATTTTTACCTTAAATATTTAAACAGTCTTACATGATGTTTTGAAAGGGGGAGCTGCATTCAGCTTGCATCATTTCCTTATTTATTCATGCCCTTATTAACGGTTGTATGGTTTTAATAATGGAGTGGGACTATGGAATTGTGCTTGGACTTCTTGTCCAGAATCCACACAATAACTTCCCAGGAACCTCTGACACAGTGACGGAGCATTTCAATGTTGAACTGACTACGGACGAATCACTTTTCCTCCACAAATGGAGGGCAATTTTCTCTGTATTCCGCATGCTAGGATCAAGCAGAGATAAGCATGATAAGGTGGAAATTGGCTTAGGCTATTATAAAGGGAGTGTTGCCTTACTTGGAGTAACATGCACTGTAATTAACCATGGATGAGATGAGCGTGCTTTGCTTCCGTAGATGTGAGCTGGAGCTGCTCATCCAGCTGCAACATTATCATAACAATATAACAACTACAGCATGTTTAGGACAAGCCCAGACTGTGAGGCCATATAAAATTTTAGCTAAACTAAATCTTTTATTGACATTGCTTGCACAGGGAGGGTTTTTTGTGAGATGTGAATTTCAAATTATGTATGATTAGATAATGTAATAGACATGCTTCTACATGTGCAGCTCAATAAATAAGAAATGACAAAAAAGGTGGAAAGTAATTCAGTTTAAAACTAGAAATCATATATTTCATAGATTTAGTACGTCAAGAGATATTTTTTTATTTTTTTGCTTGCTGTGCGGCTTATACCGCGGAAATATATTTAACTTTAAAAAGTGATACAAAAATAACATAAATAAAAAGAGCAGAACTAATACTGAGCACTGGTTTCCCTGACACAATAAGTTAAACGTATAGTGAAGGATGTTCTTTTTCCGAGTGGATCATCTAAATAAGTGCTCCTCCTAATTGTCAAGTGTTCTGGTGACATGTTTACGTAAGGCTGGCTCATCCCCAGTTAGTAATCTTTTTCTGCGCATGTGAACTTTCAGGCGTATTTATATTTGTGGTGAGCTACGGTTTCAGCCAGTTGTTGGAACTCGCTTTTCTCACCACAGTTCTTTGAAAATGGCTGATAGTTGTAAGGTAAAAGTGTCTATTAAGTCTTTGAGAAGAAGAGAAACGCCTCAGAGGAGAGAAACGGGACCACAGTGTTTATGGGAGATTCTTTCAAGCGGTGGCGTACACTGAAAGCACAGGCCAGACTTCCCTCTGATGCAGCGGTTGCAAAGTTTTTGCTCGACAGGTAAAGTTTCGCTATTTGGAGAAATCCATTTCACATCACTGCAAGTAGAAGTTATCTACCTTTATATTGTAACTTTCCAGGGAAGATAAGTTTATTTATTTTGTAATTTATATCTTTAGTAGTTATATGGTGGCCCCAGATCCTTATTTACCCCGCAAACCTATCCAAATTTCCACTGCAGCTCACACACATACAAGCTTGTCATGATTAATTTAATATACCAGCAGTCTTATTTGGAGGGAAAATTTGTATATATAAATATGGTTGAGATGAGATCCATCCGAGCCACCGTCTTATCATTGAGTCCCCGCACCTCCTCGAGGAGAAATGGGCTCCTGCATGCTCTTGCACACATATAACAGGCGTTCCCTCTTAGCAGTGGGTAAGGGGTCATGCATGTACATTATTTTTAAAGTGGAGAGGGGGGATATTTCCAAAATCCTTCACTTTACCTCTAAGTGGGGCAGAAAATTCAACTCATCTATTAATTAAAAGCAACCAATTTTACTATGCATACAAAGTTGGATACTTTGTGAAGAGATTTTTCCATTTGCTACTTTCGTCAGCATGGGACAGAAGATAGCGTGTTGTACCCTGTCTCGGTTTGTTAAGCCTCCTATAAGTCCATGTGGGCTGATCTATCTATGAATCAAAGTCCATTATGTGAGCCACCTATGGACCTAGTTTGTGTTACCTTTTCTATCATGGAAAGCATCTTTCCCTTGAACCATCAGCCTCAACCTGCTCAGTGTGAGGCATTGTTGCAGAGTCTTCACAATGCAAGCTAATTTATACGGACGTCACATGGAGGAGGAGTGTATACTGCAATTCCGTGAGTCCATGATTCAAGCTGTTTTTTCTTAAATTGAACACTTTCAAGCAATTTTACTGAACTGATTGAATTGTCTCTGTAAAGTGCTTTGAGGTGATGTGTTGTGAGTTGCTGCTGTATGAATAAACTGAATTGAACTGAAAAACCGATTTCAAATGAATACATTTATGTACACACAAGCATACATACATTTAAATATCTTATATATATCTTCATTCAGTTGTTACCCATAGTCCTTACAACTAAAACCATTGCAAAAATATCTATTTGATCCAAGTACAGTGACAAAGAGTTCCCATTAATGTTCATTGCTCACATTCAATCTTCTAACTTTTAAGGAAAACCAATTTGAGCCTTAAGAAACATTCTCATGATTTGACATTACTTTAACTGAACACTAATGTTGTAGGATTGAACTGCCACTTTAATTAATGGAGTCCATTCCTTTATGTTACATTCTGAGATACACAGCTCTTAAGCTGACTGTTGGGAGTATAGGTCCTCTTCTGATTGGATAAAGGTCTGGATAAAGAGTTCCCTGATGTTGCAGCTGGCCATCATGTCCATGTGGAGGAAACTCCAGAGCTGTGTTTCAACTTTGCTGGTGAAGTGATTGCATTCCGCTCTTCGAAGAAGCTTGAAGCCCAGCTACATTGTTCCTGGCACCTACACCCGTCGATCGATTACGCAGCACCTGGTTCTTTCCTGGTCTTTGAGTTAAGAACTACAATGGAAAAGAAAAAAAAAAGTCAAGTCATTCATATTTGCCGGTGGAGAACACACACTTGATTTCAACAGCTGATCCAGATGTTCAGCTGCACAGGTAAGCGAGTTTATAATATCTGGTAATTGAGTAAATTGTCAATCATAATCCTTTGACCAACTTCAGTTATATTTATTCATATATTCTTTATCAAACCCATACATTTTCAAAACACATGGTTTGTTCCACACTGTCACACCTTATATTGTAATGCACGTTCTTTTCATGATCGTTGTAGCATTTAAGAATTAGAAATTTAGATTATTGCTGTAATTATACCCTTCTTCTCTGTACAAAATTTTTTTTAATGCTGTCTAGTAAAACAGCCTGAGTTTTTTTAACACCTCATCAAAGCTGATTGTCCATTGTCCATGATTGATTGACTGATTGTCCATGTCATGCTGTATTGTTGCAGTAATTCATATAAATTAAGCACCAACCAAGCATTGGCTGATAGGATACTGCACAGTATATGGACAGACCTTTTTATTAGGCTCACTTTTTTAAATTTAAGTCTTCCAACCCACACTGTTTCGGTTGACCTGAGTGAAAAAAAAGAGTGTTGTCTTAATGGAACTTAAAGGATTCTTTGTGCTAACTCCCAAATATGCAAATTTGGCTGAGTGTATGTTTGAATGCTTGGATGAATTCTGCATCTGTTATTTGTTCCCCCCCCCCCTTTTTTTGATGCTTTTGTTCTGTAGGGTTATTGGCAACAACGCTGTGTGGCCCTTTACATATAAAGTTCCCTTTTATCACTAACTACATGACTGGAAGGATTCACCCAGAGATCCTGGTGAGGATTCAATTTCTCAAATCATACAATGAAACATAACGTGTCTGGGAGGGAACCAAGACAATTTACAGTGATTAGCAACATTTATTTAATTTCCTCCTCTGTTACTGCTCATCAAACAAGTGCTGCTGCCACTTACTTATGTAACATCTCTGGTGAAGTAGCTGTGCTGGGGGCATGTAACCAGAACAATTCAACAAGAGAGTCATGTATAAAAAAATGTGTTTTTTTTAACACTTGAGACTGGACCAGTGAAACAACATGACAGCCAAAAAAAAAAAAATACTGACCTACTGTATTTCTGGAGGGGATCTGAGTGTCAAATATACAATAAAGCAGATCAGAGATTATATTACAATGCAATGTTCTTAAGGTATGATGAGATAATAACAGAGAAATACATTGATTTGTGTACTTCTCTTTTTCAGACATGACCTGGAAATTTATCTTTTCCATTAGTAACAGATGTTTTGAGCTAAAAATCCTAATGGAATTATATTTTTTCATATCTTCATCTGAGCCGACTCACTTCTGGATGGCAGGACTTCAAAATAATTTAAGGTTGGAGCCTTAAAAGTTTGTCTGATCTTTAATTTCTGTTTTAACTGTTAGAGAGCATAAGACTGTTAAAGTTCTATGATTAGCACACTTTATGTCACAAAAGTTATGCCTTTTTTCTTTTTTAAATGAAAAGAAGCGGCTAATATATATATTTTATATAGCAAACGTGATATTACTTAATCCATGCTTATTGCAGATTTTAATTGTAGAACCTGATTCAGTGAAATAAACAATCATTAATTGAAATAACCTCAATGAACTGATTCAGGGTCAGATTATACATAATTGTCTGTTAAAACAATATAAATGTTCTTTACTTAGTAGTTTTTCTAGTCTTCACTTCACCGAGGCATTACACATCAAAGTGTTCAAAGTCACTATTCAAAATAAAGCTAAGCTCTGTGATATAAATGGGCTGTGACCCTTTCGTATTTTCACCATTTATCTCTTTGACTAGTTGTTAGACACCTAAAAGTGACTTAAAGTAGTTAAAAAATAAAAGTAATCAATAGTAGCTTAATATCAGGAGAGACTGGATAAACGACAGTTTTATTCAAACATTCACATATCCTTCTACATGTTAATTATAGTTGCAGAATCTGTGTCCCTGGTGTGAGTGTGTCAAAGCGAGCATAAACTGTGTCCCTCTAGTAGAAGTATGTGTGTACACAAGCTTTGTAATTTAGTTCTTGTGAATTTATAATTTAGTTAGGCCAACTGCTCTCAGGGTATGCTGGAATGCTGCCAGTCCACTGCTTTGTGTTTGTTCTGTGTGTGTGTGTGTGTGTGTGTGTGTGTGTGTGTGTGTGTGTGTGTGTGCAAACTCATTGGCTCTACTTCCAATGCTGTGTGCCCACTCTTCCTAATCCTCCCCTTGCTTGTCACAGTGACACACCACAACCTTCAAGCCCAAGGTTTCAGCTCAATAGTCTCCTCTGCTTGCAACTTGACAGCATCATATCAGCCTTTTCTGCAAATCAGCAGCCTTCCTTGCTTCCAATGTGACAGCAAGGTGTATGCAGCCTAGAAAAATGTATAATCTCTATCTAGGGCCTTCACAGTGATGTGATGGTGGGCCTCTCTTGCGTTTTCACAGAGCTGCAGTGGTGAACTAACCAAGACTGATGAAGAGACGCTCACAGTGCTTGACTTAGGTATTCAGCTGGAATGCTGGCACATGCAGGACAACACCTGCTGCTGTGAGGAGTAGCCAGAGCTAATTGCGGGAGAGTGATGGGGGTCTGTAGCTGCTGCAAACTCCACAGACAACTCAGCTTAATGTAATTAGCTGCCATGTTCTCCTGCAGCAATATTGCATTATGGTTTTTACATTTAATTTAGCCAGCGCAAAATGAAACGGTAACAGAGAAAAAAGATAACGAGAGCAAACTGATATTGAAATCTGCCCAGTGTTGGGAGGCTAATAATGAGACAATGAAACACAGTAGCTGACAATATGGCATGCTGTGGTAAAACATCTTAATGGTGTCATTAGGTAGATGCTTCTCTGTGTTGCCGCTCCAAGCCAAGAAGACTGCAATGAATCGTTGTATTTGCTGTTCTTTTCCAAAATTAATAAGAATACAACCAGAAAGGACATTTTTTTACAAGATACAATTCTTTAGTGTTTTGTCTATAAATAGTTTTACAATGCAAAGATATGATACCGCAAAATTTCTTGTCAAATCACAGTCTATCTCAAATCTATCCATTTTACCTTTTTTTTTTTTTTTTTTGCTTATATATTAATTTAGGAGTATCAGGTAAAGGAGAAAATCTCAGAAATTCTTGTCTCCAAAAAATGCTTATTATTAGTGATTTTAAGGTCTGATTTGATGGTATATATAATCCTTCCTGCAAATTATCCGAAATACTTCCAAAGTGCAGCACAAGGTGTTTTGCCTCAAAAAGCTACCAAAACAATTTTAACTGACTCATTCTAAAGAGCATTAGTCCTTTTTTTTAGGTCCCGTTTAAGGGGGACTCCAATTATTCTTTGGGGGAAGCTACTTTTTTTGTTTTTTGGGACCAAGTGTCAGGAGGCTCTAAACCTTGGATCCAATATTCAGACAGACAGAGCTGGAAGAGTTTAACAGACTTTATTTAGTAAGCAGCGTGAAAACGGCGCGTCAGCAGGGGCGGACTTCACGGATCCTCTGGTTCAAAGTTCAGTCCGATCACAAAAGGAGAGGAGGGAAAGGTCCTCCGCCGCAGGCGGGAGCGGCCCCCGAAGCGCAGTGAGGAGAGCGGCGCTGAAGCCAAACGGCGCCGAGGAGCAGGTGTTGCCAGAAAGGGAGATCCAAGCCGAAGTCGAAACAGAACCAAGTTCGTTTACCAGGAGATCTGAGAGCCGATGAGGTACCGATGAGGGAGTCCAAGCCGTGGTCAGGAAAACAGTCCAGGTTCGGTAAGCCAGTAGCATCCAATACACAGTCCAGAGCCGATCAGACTAAATGAGCAGACAGGGGCGAAGCAAAACTCGGGATCAGAAACAGGTCACCAAACAGAATAATCAGAAAAGTAGTTCGAACGCTAGAGTTACTCTCACTAGAACAGCTAGAATAATCTGGCACTGGAAGCTTGAAACCAAATCGTATATATAGGGGCTGGAACCAGGTGGAAGGGATAAGAAATGATGAGAACAGGCAGAGCTAAACAGGTGGGTGGAATAAGCAATCAAGCCACCAGTGCCAGGACCATGACAGAACCCCCCCCTCAAGGGCGGATTCCAGACGCCCCAACAGGCTGCTCTGGGTGATTTCTGTGGAAATCCCTGATCAGGTCCTTGTCCAAAATGAAACGGGCTGGGACCCAAGAGCGCTCTTCAGGCCCGTAACCCTCCCAGTCTCCCAGATACTGGAGCCCCCTGCCTCTTGGTCTGGACCTTAAGAGACGGGTGACAGTGTAGGCCGGACCCCCATCAAAAAAACGTATCGGTGGAGGCGAACTAGAGGTGGGCACAAACCTGGAGGTTACAACAGGCTTGACTCGGGACACATGAAATGTGGGGTGTACCCGTAAAGAACGAGGAAGGTCAAGGCGGACAGCCACCGGGTTCACTACCTTGGAGATAGAGAAGGGCCCGATAAAACGGGGAGCCAGCTTCTTACTGTCCACCCTCAATGGCAGGTCCTTGGTGGACAGCCAAACCCTTTGACCCACCCGATAAGCGGGCGCAGGAACCCTCCGGCGGTTAGCAGCTTTGGCCTGGCTTACCAGGGATTTAGAAATGGCCCTTCTAGCCCTTCTCCAGGCCCGCTGGCACCTGAGGGCCGAAAGATGGGCCGAAGGAACCTTGGATTCCTTCTCCTGAATGGTGAACACCGGCGCCTGGAAACCAAAAACAATGTAAAAAGGGGACAACCCAGTGGTGCTGGAGGGAGTAGAGTTGACAGCATGCTCGACCCAAGGGAGTTGGCTGGCCCACTTAGTAGGATCAGCCTCACAGAGAATGCGGATCTTAGTTTATACCTCTTGGTTGGCCCTCTCTGTCTGACCGTCTATTTGGGGGTGAAAACCTGAAGACAGACTGACCGTGATCCCCAACAGAGAACAGAACTCTCTCCAGAAACAGGACACAAATTGAGATGCCCTGTCTGAAACA